GACTCGGGTCCGCAGCATGTAAAGTTGATTCTCGAGTGGGACGAAGCCACGAAGCGAAACATTATACAGGACGACAGCGATCAGATCGAGGAGCACGCCAGTGTGAAACAATTGAAGACCAATTCCGAACTGGGCGGCGCTGTCACTCTGGAGGAGTGTTTCGATCTGTACACGCGAGCGGAGATACTGGGCGCGGAGGATGCGTGGCATTGTCCCTACTGCAACAAAAAGCAGGAGGTTGTGAAAAAATTAGGCCTCTGGTCGCTGCCCGATATATTGGTCATACATTTGAAAAGGTTTCGTCAGCAGTCTAAGCAGCGGTCAACGTCCAAGCTAACTATGCTGGTGGACTTCCCTTTGTACGGCTTCGACATGACACCGCACCTCGCTCACAATGGCGTCCAGACGGCGCATAACAATGTTACTAGCTTAGGCGGTCTGGGCTGGTCGCCTTGGAAAAAGCCGCGGCCGCGGCAACACAATTTTCCCAAGTACGACGAGAATGTTTATGATCTCTACGCGATATGCAACCATCACGGGCAGGATCTTCAGGGCGGGCATTACACGGCGTTTTGCAGGAATCCGTACGACACGCAATGGTACTGCTTCGACGACACGCGTGTCGAAGCGGTCAACGACACGAATCTTATTACGAATTCGGCGTACATGTTGTTTTATCAGCGGAGAGGCTTGTGCAATAACTCCACAGGAAATTCGTCCGCGGCGTCTACGAGCTCAGCTGGTTCCGGTCTGGATCACTGGGTGTCGAAGATGCCACCGTTTTATTTCAACAATAAAAGCGCCAGTGACATGACGAACAACAAGCAAAGTAAATCGCAAGAGATACTGTGTCAGGAGAAGATCGTCGAGGAGAAGAACATGACTAATTTCACTCGAGGTTGTGGCAATTACGCGACTCTGCAGCCAAAGAAGAGGAACGCGGCGACGGAAACCGATATCGGGCAGATCGATCACTATTCGGACGACGAGGCACCTTGTAGAAGAGAATGGGTATGTCATTTGCATCTATTGTTATTGAACTTCAAATATATTTATAAAGGAAATCGTTACTCTTTGTTTGCAATAAAAAAAAAACAGCAGTTAATTTATTAGTCGGCTAATGAAATAATCTTTGTTATATATCAATTTCAGGCTTCTCCGAAACCCGTACGGAAAACCTCATCCATCACGTTGACGCCACACATACCGCCAGCTATAATCCAGAATGCTAGCAGCGATCCAAATACAACAGTGATACACGAATCTACGTTGTAACACACGATATAAGCCAGACTGAGAAGTCTGGCTCGAGCGATGCTCAATGTACAGTGCCTGGTGTGCCGTGATGTTTGACCAACATCGAGTGGCGAGATAAAACAAGAACAATTCTGGTAGAATACAAATCTGTTATTTTTCGATTACCCGATAGGGACGATATATACTTAGAGACAAGGGGAAAAAAAAAATCGTTCCTTCGAATTTATATAGGAATGCTTTTTCGTACTACGGATGCCGAAACGGATAACGAATTTTAGCAGCGTGCTTGTCTCTCCGCGTGTTATTTCGGGAAGTGTGATAAATTTACACACCGGCGACTTTTTCAGGACGATAGAAATACGAGGCATTAGTAATTTTTGTAATTGTAATACCATGTTTGTATACAGCTCGCGTGGATTGTATATGATAGCTGCTAAGATAGCTTTTTAAAAGAAGACAAATCTTATACTCAGTATATGAAGAATCGCGTATTCTTAAGAAAAAAAACCTCTAGTGTTTATTAATAATAATAATATCTAATTAGACCTTCTCTCTCGATGCAATAGACAACTAAATTCTACATATGTCCAGAGGGAAAGGAAGCTATTTCCAGAGCTACAATTTGTGCAATTACAATTTGTCTATAATGTCGTTATGTCAACGTGGTTCGCATTGTGTCAATTCTTTCTTACAATGAAAGTATATGACAATAACGAGAAATTTTTATGTTACAGATTTTACATCGACGCGTCTCGTTTTTGTTTTTTTTCTTTTTTTTTCTTTTTCAGAATCGGTCGTTTCTGGACATACTTTGTAGCTATAAACGATTGCTTTGAATCTATGCTTAATTGTAATATTTATATTATACCTGTATCATCCACTAGTGGCCTTATCTAAATAATTAATACTGATACACGTCATTACTAAGCATATTAATCACACTTATTACTTAGAGCATTTTATTTTAGATATCGAGATTGTTTTGCAATAATTTTGCAAAGCCGGGCTATAATATTAGTTTTGCAATCCTTGTCTGATCTACATTATTTAGGAAGCACTGTAAGTGTTACATCATTTGAATTCTTCCAAGGTCTCTGTGGATACAATACTCCACTAACGCTAAAAAGAATGATTTGTTTTAGTACAGAAGAGCTTTTTCTATATAGAATGATCCATGTAAAGTGTTGCGCAAGCTGTTTTCTCGGAAACTATTAAAATTAGCAACAAATTTTTTTCTTCTAGGATACTCTAGTAACTTTTGGGAAAACAGCTCGCAAAACACTTGTGTGCGTGAAACACTCTTGCAATGAGTGTATGAATATACACCAATTAGGGGAAAGGGTGGCGTAAGACGGACCCTCTAAGCGAAAATGGCCATATTTTTTATATTAATGACAAAAAATAACTGAAATTTAGTATGAAGAAACAGTAGAATGTTTATTATAAGATCATAATGTAAATTTTCAAAACTTGCAAAAGTTTGAATTATTATTAAGATTGTAAAAAACTTAATTTTGGTCCGTTTTACCCCATAGATGGGGTAAAATGGACCATTCCATGGGGTAAAATGGACCAAGCCGAGATAATATGGACCAAGAAATAATTTAACTGATCAACTCAAAATCAAAACTATATATTATTTATTAAATATTTTTGAATAAGAATAGAAATTAATTTAACATTAATCATTTTATCTTCTTGCAGCTTCTCGTTTACCAATGTTTTCTTCTAACATGACTTCTAAGGCTCCGTATAAATTTTCCTCATTTCATTTACATCGATTCGATTTTCTTTTATAATTTCTAGGCATCTTTAGCAACTAGAAAAATGGTTAAAAAACAAAAAGTTGTTAAAAAAGAAAATGAGATGTAAAATATTTCTCAAATCAGAGCAAATATATAAGCAGAAAACTATAAGTAGAAGGTATAAGTAGAAAATATGAGTAGAACAAATATATAAATTGGTCTCTTTTACCTCACATAACAACATTAATATTATCTTATTTTTATTTACCTGTATCAAAATTATTTTTAAATGTAACTGATGAAATATTACTTCTAAATAACCAGAAATATGGAACTTGTAGAAAAATTTAAAAATATTAAGTTTTGCAATCTTAGTCACTTAAAATGTAATACTAAGAAATTAGATCACGAGATCTATTTGCAAGAATTTGACGTTTCTTTATAAATAACTCACGATAGTCTTATGATAGTCTTATATAATGATGTAATTTTTAAACAGTTCAAAAGCATCAAAAAGGAAATTAATTTTATGTTTATCCAGCAGATAGAGGTACTTACTAATAAGATCTAGCAAATGGACCATTTTACCCCGCGGTCCGTCTTACCCCACCTTCCCCCATAGCTTATTTCTTATCATGATTGAATGTTTCACAATCTCAGTTTTAATAATCATTCCAATCGAATGTTGAATAGTGCGCGAACGAGAACAAACGAGTGAAAGCGAGAATTTATAAATATATACATATATGATTTTATAGTGAGTGAAAGACATTTAAGTTATTCTATTAACATTTATATTACTAGTCACACGCGTATCGTGGACACGAGTAGGAAGGACGATGATTGGAATGAGGACGGATTTATGAGTCACGAGTTATTATCCGCTATTATAATGATTTTTCGAAGTTGCGATAATCGACTGAATATACACATTATTACTTGTCCTTTCGTTGAAATAGAGAATGTATATACCAAGGAAAACGTCATTCCACTTTATGCACGTTGCGTATGTAATTTCGTCGTTTTCGATTTACAGCTCTCGTGCCACTTGTCGTGCGTTGCATTTTGTTACACGTTTACAAAAAGAAAGAGAGACACCGTGATACCCTTACGATTCGTTACAAAGATGTATGCATACTTTTATCTTTTTTGAATATCTTTTTAGAATAAGTGCTAAAACTTGTGCGAACCTCTTTACTTGTCGACCAAATGAAATGGGACTTGAGTAACCGAGACGCTGCAACTCTGATATCTTATCGACACGATGTGGCAGGAATCATGAATAATTCGACGAAAAATTGAAAAATAAACACAATGAGACAAAATATGAGATGCCTTTCTTTCTATCTGGATGGTTAGTCTTAGTGCAACTCTTTTTGTAAGTATTTCTTGAGCGAACAATTAAAAGATAAACATTCCTAGCATTCCTGACATTTTCCTAACGAGTATAATTCTTGAATAATTTTAATAGAATTTTAATTTTAGGTTTAATTATGCTAACATTGCAAGCTGCGATAGGATTGCTGTTCTCTTTTGTTGGAAGAAAACCACTTCAGTTTGATTCTAGAGTCTGTTATTAAAATAAAGATCGCCAGCTGCGAGACAGTTGAAAGGAGCATAGTAAATGAATTCGGCTCGTTTGTGCACTACTTCACACACACACACGCACACAAAGGTATTCATTTATTTCATTTGCAAATTCTGCATTTTGTTCTTTTTTTGTTCTCCTCGTCCGTTCAAAGCCTAAGCACGCATCTATCTCGTTTGAAATGCAAAGAAAGTTCAGCTGGAAAAGCTACGGCTTGGCGTAAAGCCTTCGCGGAATTGCGCGCGAGCGATATGACGCGATTGGTTGCGACGTCGCCCCACCTCGTCGCTGATCAGTCGGGCTCAGTCGGTCTCGGACCTTCGTCGAGTGCGTGTTGCGTATTGTTACTCGTGCCTGCGTACGCGAGCGTACGGATTTTGTCACTGAAAAAAAATCGAGGTAAGAACTGCCATTAATTTTATTGCATCACTCGTGCGCAATCTTGCCGCCGCGAAACGATAATCCCGATACCACGAGGCTCCTCGTCGTCGCGCATCTCGTTGAAGGACTCGCCGTCGCGCTTCTGTCACGCGAGGCATCGCCGGTGAGACATGGTCTCGGACTCGCCCCTAATGATATATATACCGTCGCAATGTGTTCAGCGTAATCGCGGTGCGTTTTTCTCGGACAACGCAACAAAGAAGGCGGCGCTACTCCGGCCGCGAGATAAGCCAGAATGCGGGAGAGCGAGACGAACGATGTGTATGCACGGAGAAAGAAAGGGAAAGAGCGAGGAAGGTGGAAGGAAATAGAGGAGCCTGATGGCGCTCACAGTCGCCTTCGTGTGTACTCTCGGGGATCGATATACGGTACACACCCGGAGCGACGATGTGTGGGTGCAAGAATACATTACGCGAGCTCCTCGTGAACGCTGCTGCGTATGTATGTGTGTGTGTGCGTGTGTATGAGAACGTGAGAAAGAGAGCGCGAGGGAGTGACAGGGGTAGGGAGAGCAAGGGACCGTTGGATAGAGTGCATTGGTCTGGATTTCGTTACAGGCCCCCAGAATCAAAGAGATCCTACCAGATGTTGTGCGAAGCGAGGCTCGAGAGAAGCGCGTAAAAACGGCCGGGCGACTCGCAAAGTCATTTCGGAGCCGGCTAAGAGCAGGCCGAAAATCGTCTTTTTTTTCCCCACGCGAGGAAAGCTTTGTCGCGCGCGCGAAATACCGGACGCGGATACCGTATTTCTACGGTCGGATGGTATCGACCCATTTTCGACGGACCCATTTTCCTCGCGCATGCAAAACGCAAGACGACGAGGAACGTCGTCGTCGTCGGCGTCGGCGTCGTCGCGCGACGCGACGCGACGCGACGCGGCGCGATGACGAGCGTGAAGCGGCGATATGATCGAAGGGTGGCGGACGTTTACGGAGCAGGCCACCACGATTACGACAGGTCGATGACTTTTTATATGCGATAGCGTGCGCCGACCAGGCCCGCGGAATCGCAAACATCGGGTTTAGGACTGCATCTCGTTTCGGCGAAAAATTTCGTCAATCGGCAAATATCGCGCGCCCACTCGTCGAACTCTAACTGCGAGCTGTGAAAATATTATTAGAGACGCGTGGCGGGTTGTTATTTTTCTGAAAAACGTAGAGTAATAAAATATTAGGATAATCGTCAGACTAAACATTTCTTCTGTTAAACATACTGAATGATATATTAAAAAATTATTTGTAATACAATATTCAATAAAAATCACAATTTCGTATATTTTGGCGACTTGAAAAATTTATATATCTCAAAATAATCGTTCGAATATTTTGCGACGCAAATTTTCTAGAACATAATTTTTTATTCGTTAAAACTGATCTCTAGAAAATTTCAAAGAAAATACGATACTAGCGGAATAAAAACACTGTACATTATGAACGATGAACATAAAATACGGCTGAGTCTAGAAAAATGTGTGTATGAAACATTAGAAAGACGGTTCTTTAAATATTTCAACGTAACAAGCGTAGCGCGCGATAGACGAAACGAGGAAGGAAAAATAAAAGCGTCGAAGAGTCCGAAAAGAATGTATGACGTGAACATACATACAGTTTTTTTTTTCGTTTTATATTTATATGTCTGTTCTCCTTAGTTCTGCTGTTTTACATTTTGCTACACTTTGCTACATTTTGATGCTATCTTTTTCCTTCCCGCTTCTCAGGTCGTTACGTAGATTTCTCTGAATGCATAAGAATGTAGAGAAGTGTATCTCTAAAAGAAACATTTCATATTCCTTTTTCGTGTCTCTTCAAAATGCGATTACATACTTTCTCGCCTCTTTTCTTCTTTAAAGTCTTATGACGATTAGATTTCAAATTCCGAAAGTGTAAAAAAGAATATTAAATTAAGACGAGAAAAATTTCTTGCTTTATTTTTGATGTTGATATGACTGTAAAAATTAATTAAAAGATATGAAATTAACTAATTTATTTAATTTAACTGAAAAATAACGGTCTTTATTGTATTAATATTAGAAATTGTAGAATTCCATGCTGCTCTCAGAAATCTTAGTCAATTTTAAACATTAATAAGGAAAGCAAAATAACATTCGTGATCTTCGAACTATGCTCGAGGGAATATGTAGAATGAGCCTTGACTTGTCTCATTATCGCTCAATATATATTCTATGATTTTCTAATATTAGAAGATACAAACAACAGCTTATTCTCTGAGAGTCGCGTAGACTCTATCGCAGAGAATTTCAAGAATTTCAAAAATCTCGTTATCAGTCGCTCTTAACATTTGTCGTCACTTAAGATGAATACGTGATTAATTTGAAATTGCTGACGAAGGCGGAATTCGTTACATTTTGTGATCGCACTTTGAACGTGACGAAAATCGGGACGGAAAACACGTGATAGAAACGCCTCGCGTTGACGGATTAATCTTTCTAGTGAAACGAGACTGTGTATTCGTCTTGACTGCCGAAGTCTCTGTCGGAGTCATCGTACGGCTTTACACAGGCGACGTTATAGTCATGTTATAGTGGTGTTATAGTCGATCGATCGCAGCGGTTGCATGTTACGATACCAACCGGCTGTGTGAGATCGGTCGATGACTTTTTACGACGGCGCGCGCGATTCGCAATTCGTGATACGCTCGAGTCGGCAGCAGCCAGTTGGTTATCGTTTTAACGTCAAAATTTAGTTGCTGCTTCCTTTCTACGTCAAAACGTCGTATTGTATTTAGGGTAGACTGAGGCAGGTGCAAAAATAAGAGTTCCGCTTGATAAATCTACTATTTATAAATTCAGCATAAATTCTCACAAAAATACGTTGAAATTTGCAAGATTTTAAATAGTCTGCGAAATAATAATCTGCTTTTATTGTTTATTTAAGTCAGAACTCTTAGCTGTTTACGACGGTTCCAATCTATTAAATTTATTAATACGAATTAATCAATTTATGAATAATCGTCTCGCATATAAGACATATATTTCCTAAATGGAAAAATAACGCATCTCGCTAAAAGTTTGCTAATAAATTAAGCGATAATAAAGACAGTATTTCTCTTTAGACGTAGAAAACTTAATAGTTTCTTCTTGCTCGCTTTAGAACTTCAAAAATTCGTTTTCTGAAAAGTTAGTCTTTTGTAACAAAGCAGGTTTTATCCTTCACTCGATATTGCCGGAAAGAGCCATAAGCATCGTTCGCGTTATATGCACATTTTACATTATATGCATTTAAAACGAAGCAGTAATTCGAGCGAAGGGGAAAAGAATAAAAATGCAGAAAAAGTACGGAAAGTAATACAAAAAGTACACACGATGCGGCTGGACCTATAATAGTAAATTTAGTTCGCTTCTTCATTCTAAAGTTAGTCTTAAACCTAAACTCAGTAACTTGGTATTCCGTTTTTTTTTTATAGTCTGAGCTCATTTTTCTTAACGACATGCTTTTAAGTGCTTTAGATTGCTGCAAATTAGATTCATGTAGCTATTAAAATATATTACCATAATTATCGCTCTTTATGTAAATATTCTTTATCTTTTAATGTTATTCAAATAAGTATAAAGAAGTAAAGTAGGTGTTACAACAAAGAGATGTAATAGATTCCGATACAAATTTAAAGTTAGGACATTTTACAAATATCTTAACTTATCTATTACAAATTTTGTAGAACTTTTTTAACGAAGATGATTTAATGCATATTTCTATTTTGGTTTTTTTCTTTATTTTATTCGAATTTTTCGTTAAACTTAACTTCCGCAAGTTGTTAACGGTTAATTATAATTTTAATTAAACTTCTTAGTTATGAAACTATGATATTAACCTTTCGAGTTAATGACTCTATAAATTCGTATGTTGGAAACTATTCATACTAAGTTAGGATTAGTTACGTTCAATTAATTACGTGTAATTAAGTATCAGACAGCTAATTAAATTTAAAAGAACTTGGGCGCTTGTGCTGTTTATCCAGCTTATCAAGCTTTTGGGGATGAAATTAAATAAATGCATTTCGTGCTTGAAAACGAAAAGGAATAGCACACGTCACTGCATGTTGTTAAAATGGCCAGGACTAAAAGAACGATGATATAAGCCAGCGTGACAGCACAGGTGGATGGTCTCATACTAATGTCAGCTAATAAACTTCATTTAAAACCGTGACACGATTGGCGGTGACTTTATTTGTCACTCGTATAGCGAGAAAGGTATGCGACGAGTTGATAAGATCCACACGCATATTCTATTCTATCTCCATTGCGGGATGCATAATATTGTTTCTTCTGGTACATGCAACGATAAGATAGTTGTTTTTATCGAACAAATAGCCGCTTACGCTTGATGTAAATGCGTAATAAAAAATATCCATCGAATATTATTTGCAATAAACTCGTCAGCGAGTGACGCAATTGATTTTTGTATAATTTAGGATAATAACGATAATAATTCATTTGCATTATCGATTCGACGAACAGCGCTTCAGTGTTTTATTATATTATATAATGAATCACAGATAATAAAATATGAAGTATTTTTCAACTAATTTTTAACGTTTACGAAAATTAACGTTTTCTTATTTTTACCGTTATTAGTAATTTAAATGATTGAAAGCGATAATAAAAATTATTTTTTTCGAATTTTTACTCGAGATATTTATCGCGAGATATTAAATAGTTGCAATGAATAAAGAAGATCGATTACGATTATTTTGCATTTGCAAATATTTAAATTTACATATTGCGTGATACGAATCATAAAATTCACTATTTCAATATTTGCCTTCAGTCATTTAATTCAGTTCTCGCAGAAATCAGGAAGCGAATATTTTCTTTGCGTCCCTGAGAAATATGGAGACTTTTTATCGGATTGTATATGTTACGGAATAAGGAAACGTTTGTAACATTATAAGCCGTTGTTGAAATCAAAGAACACGTATTACTGTGGGTTTCCTCTCTCCGGTTCGAATGTATCGAGTATATTGAAGTGCTTTGTGCGGTGGCGATGTACGCTTCAAGGATGGAATGGAATCAGAAAAGTAGGTTAATAAACCGTACGTGTACGTTGCACTTTATCGATCCGCGATATATTTATTACACAGATAGGTATTTGTTGCTCGCGCTGGCGTAAGGAGCTTAATATAGAATGTGGTGCATATAAAACGTTGTTAATTGACTGAGATCGTTATATCACGTATTTATATGCTGTAATACCTAAACATGTTGATATAGTAAATTAATTTTCATTACATCATTAGAGGAGAATCCCGTCGAGATTTAATTTTCCTCGAGCGCAATTGTTTTATTTAATCAACCGAAATTGGACGCATTCGACATTTCCGATGTTAAATTATCAACAAACTTTGATGCGAGAAATGTAGAGCATATCCTCTTTATAGACATTTTATGTCAATCGTAAATTTAACGATCTTTTCTATAAAAGAAACTTTTAGTTTTTTATTATTAAATTTGTGAAACATTATAGTGCAATTTTTATTTCTATAGAAATATATATTCTAGTTGTGTACTTTAATGTTAATACTTATCTATTTTTTTTTTTTTTTTTTAAGTTACACTTTATTATATCTTTTTTGTTGTAATATCAATCCCAACGTTATTTTCTTAATTTGGTGTAAGCATAGGATTAAAACGAACTGCGCGTTTCAATTGCCTAGATTCTTCAAAAGTTTTAACGATGAGATAATGTGGCCATTGCGCCCATTAAACCTATTTCAGTCGATTTGATACTAAAAAGCATCTCGGAAATCCTTTCGGCGCGTTTTAGTGATGTCAATGAAGCGAGAGAGATGGAGAGCTAGCTGGCACAGACTTCATTAATTAAGCGCGCGTTGATTTCACTACGGAAGAGTTGAATCACTACGGTAAAACGTTTTGCGACACTGAGTGACGTCGGCGTATTTAGTCAAGATTGAATTGTAACTCACAATGGATGAGCGCATGAGAAATCACAATATGCAGATAGAGCGATAATCGCATTAAAGCTACCGATGAGTCTTTTTGGAAAATTGCATATTTAATCAGCGAGTAATTCTCTTTAATAAACTACTGAAATATTGAGAGAAATTGATTCGTGGAAAAAATAAACGCGAATTGATTTTATTTTAATTTAATTTCCTAGTTTAATTGCTAAAATTCGATCATCTGAAAAATTAATATTTGAATACTCTCTTTTAATTGTATAAAAAAATCGAAATTTGTATTAAATAAACACGAATTACAGTAAATATATAAAATGTAGTTTTTTTCTATTGGAACATTGAGTTGATGATATATTTGTTAAAAGAAGATAAGTGTAGCATAAAATTTTTACATGCCTTTGAGAGAGAGAAAAAGTTTATTTATTTAAATTTATTATAATATTAAATAGTCTATTTTTCTTTGTTTTCGATATTTATGTGCGGAGAAAGTTTTATAGCCGCGAACCATAAGAGAAATTATAAGTTTAAATATGACCACTATGTGAAAAACATGGTAAAAATTTTTATATAATTTCTTCGTAGAAAAGAACAAACTAATTAGAGTTATGTTTTGAACCTGCATTCTATTGCAGTGCACAACTAAAAGTTTGCGCTACATAATTATGTTTAATAAATGCTTAATACGTTTTATATCAAAGAGAAACGAATAATTGCATAATCCATAGTGTTTTTTTGACGTTATATGATTAATTATACGATTGGCAGTATTATACGTATAAGATTATTATTGCTAACATTATAGTAACAATTCCTATAAAAATGAGTCTTCTCACTATAATTATAGTCCCATGCAATTCCAAATATCGCATGCTTTTATCTCAATGCAAATATTGAACAAAAGTTCAGGTAAATGAATCGTGGAACTAATTAATTGCGTAAATATCAGACTTCAAAATATTTGCATTTATATAAATTCTCGTTTAATTGACCGCAGCAAAATTCGAACCCGATTTATTTACAGTGTCGAATTTATATCAAATTATTTGTATCAAATTCAATACAACATTCGCACCTCGGATAATTGTTGAAAGTGCTAATTGATGATTATTTTCTGATTGCAGCGCTCGCGCGTAGCATGTCTTGACGAGTAGGAGAGACGCTTCAACAGAGTTTTCGGCAGATAAGGGTTCTCCAAAATGGCGGGTGGTCAACAGCTTCCGGAACAGTACACGGTACCACAGTACGCGAGGATCTTCCACAGTCTGCCGCATCTGAACGTCTCTCTACATTCGGTCAATAATACCTTCAATCCCCACTCCGAAATCTATTTGGAGGTAGGTCGTTCGGGTAAAATTCGTCGATTTGATCTTCTTGCCCAATTATTGGAATCTTTCCCGGAGCTCGTTCTTCATCCCCCCGTTTCGTCTACCCGCTCGAATCGCCATCGCGGGCAAATCGATCTCCTTGATTTAAAACAAAGTGCGTCCGATTAATCGGCCGTGCGCGGCTCAAGCCTTTAACCCTCGCGCGGATCGATAAGCGAATTGCTCGGCAAAAGAATCTGGATTTCAAGCGACCCCGTGAGTTGCCAGAGAGTTTCAAGATAAATATTTTATTCGTACCGGTATGTGTACTTTGTTTCAAACGTCCCCGTGAGAACATCGGCATGCTCGATTTATTTTCAATCCGGACCGGATGACGATTTCAGGAACATGTAATTGATGTAAATATTGGAGGTACAAAATCGTTCTTACATACTCCAAATATTTATGATATCGAATTTCGTGACGCAAATTCTCGATCTTCGATTTTTACGGCGCTTTGTAATCTGCGTTTGTCGCGTTTTGCATTTTGTGTTTAAGTTCCAATATGAATATTGCATAAGGGGGGACATCAGTGCATTAATTAAGCACCTCGTTCGAATAATACGCGCTAATTCCTACCAATACCCCGATCTTGTACGTCAGAATTCTGCGGTCGGCTGTTTCGCGAGATATCCTCTTAGCGACCACGGGCACCGAGGAGCACTTTAGATTATCGTTTCGGTCAGACGTACGTAGATCCCGATGGCAAGTGCTGATTCGAATCGATACACACGGCGTGAAAATTCAGGAAGCGAGCATCTGGAGACGAAAACAGACCGGCGAAGAGAAACCGTGCACCCGCGAATCGTCCTTTTGCGGCGCGCAAAACCGAGAGAAGAAGAGGAAGAAAAGAAAAGAAACAATTCACGTGTTCACGGAAAGCAGCGGGACGCGGGACGTGCCGTAGCACGCGGCGAGGACACAAAAAAAAAAGAAGAAGAGTGAAAGAAAGGGAAAAAAAAGAGAACAAGAAGCCGGCGAAAGAAAAAAAGAATACCAGAACACGACGAGCGGGCAGGTGGATGCCGCGAGCGTGAGCGCGCAAGAATCCGGGCCGTGTGTAACTGGAAAGCACAATGCCTGGGAAAGCTCAAACAATGCACAAAAGGCTTTTCGCATAATGCGCCCCGGGGCAACTCGCGAGCGGGTCTTCAACGCACTCGGGAACGTCGGACCGCGGATATCCCCTTTCCGCCCCGTCGCCCTTCCCGTCGTCAGCCAGTGTCTCGCTCCCGTCTTTCTCGCCCGCTTGCCTCAACGAAGTCGAAGTGGGCGAGCTCTCGGACGACGAGGACTGCGCGAAACTTGGTCCCGCCGCGCGCTTTTCGTCACGCATATGATCTCGCGGGGTGAACCGGCGGAGTTGAGACCGCCGAGAAATAAGATAAAAGCCCCTTGTCGGAGTAGGAAGAGGAAGATGGGATACGGTAAAAGTTACGAGGCGGCCCGTAAGAGTTCGCGTATTACAGAGTAAATATACGTAATGCGTCTGCGATAACGTTTCAACGCGGCCCTCGGCGTTACGCGCACTATTCGCCATCGGCATCTTACGAGGCAATGGCAGCGAGAAGATCCTGGCAAGATTCCAATTTTTCGACGCTGTTTGTTTAGGCGGTGCGCTCGTAATTGAAAGCTTCTTGCTTGATTAAATTTCAAACAAGCCTTTATTTTCAGAAAAGGATCACTTCGCTAAAGAGGGGGCTAACAATTCATTATTAACGAAATTTGTAGAAGAGCGCGTCCTTACGTTTAAAACATAATAATGGGGGGATTTTTTTTTTTTACAAAAATATATGCGAAGTTATACGAAGGTAGGAATAAAAGGATCATGGCTGGGTGTAATTTTTGCAGAGCCTTGGAATACTGGGAAGTATTCCTGCAGCTTGGTTGATCTTAACGTTGCTGGTGTTGTTGGTTTATTTGGTAACAAGATGTTGCGACCGGAGGCCGCGCCCCAAGAAGTCGATAACCGCGCTGAAGTGTTCACTGGCCGTCCTGGCGTTGCTCTGCAGCGGTGCGGTCGCCGTCGGTCTTTATGGCAACGACGACGTGCACAACGGCTTGGTGCAACTTGTGGCAGCGGCGAAAAACGTCGACGGGATTCTCATGGGCGTCAGAAATCAGGTATTTCTTATGTCTATGAAACTAGCGCCGTCATCGTAAAAAATTTAAATGGAATTTGTTTCAAAATTTAGTTAAAACCCTTTAGATATTAGTTTAGTGCTCAATTTTAGCGCTCCGACAATTTTGTTTATCATAATGTCGTAATAAAAGATCTTGATGCAAAAAATGTGGATGCCAAATACAACAATGTGCTTGTGCGAGAACAAAAAAAGAGATAAATTTGCGAATAATTATGAATTTTCTATTTTTCAACAATACAATACTATCTGTGTGTCGTTTCTATACTTCTCTGCAGACCGATACCATAGAAGTGACTTTGAAGAAAAAAGTGCAGCCGCAGCTGACTGCCCTCGGAGACGAATTCGACGCTCCGGTCAGCAATAAGACTGTATTAGGCTGGCTGTTGGTGGCATTAAACGGCATGAAACAGAACACGAGCATCGCTGTAAATCGGAGTTTCGAGATTCGAAAGCCTCTGAGCGGCATCAGTCTCGCCGGCGCTATCGGGATGGGCGAGAAGATCGAACAGCTGCGATGGCCCATCACTATGGCGGTCCTGAGCGCTCTACTCGTGCTGTGCGTCGTCCTGGTGGTTGGTGTCGCACGACACTCCAGATGCGTTCTTATAACGTACGTTTCTTTGAAAATGAAAGTGAATCCTTCGATTGTACTCTCTCGGACGGTTCTGCATTTCTATTGAAAACTCTGACAAAATTGAAGAAATAGAAATTCGTCTTTTGCGAGCGTCGTAATTACGGCGGAAGTCGCAACGAAATCATTCTGACAGAAATTTCCTTTCAGATTCTCCGTATTCGGCTTGTTTGCGGTAATCGTCTCTTGGCTCATGGCGTCCTTATACCTGGCCACTTCCGTAGCTCTAGGTGATCTCTGCGTATCGCCCGACGGCTATTTAAGCAGAGCCGTACCGTCGACCCTAGCCTCCGAGGTGCTCTCGTACTACACGCATTGCGAGAACACGCGCAGCAATCCGTTCACGCAGAGATTGCGGGACGGGCAGCGCGCGGTGAGCAACATGAGGCAAAATTTTAACGTCGTGTCGAAATTAGCAGTGGACCTGTTCAAAGACCAGCAACTCCAACCGAAACTCAGCAGTCTGTCCACGGATGTTAACAATATTGACAGACTCTTGTCGGGTTTGGCCACGTTATTGGACTGTAAGCCGCTGCACAAGCAATACGTTCACGCCGCTAAGAGTTTGTGCCACTTGGGATTGTAAGTTGATACACTTTGTGTTTAACCTCATGACTCTCTATTCAATTGAAGTAACTTTACGCGCAGTGTGACATTCCATTTCTAATATTATTTCGTGATGCGTTTTAGATACGGATTGACTTTCATGCTACTGGCTAGTTTAGCCGCAGGTCTCTTGTTCACTGTACTGGTTTGGGTAGATTCTCATACATGGATATACATACGAAAACGGTAAGCGCATCGGTGTTTGTACGATTTATCCGAGATTCAAACCAGATTTTATTTTTATATTATATTTGACAATAAGAAAAATTTGTTTAATTCTAGTTAATATTTTTCGTACTTGAGCAGGCACCGTGAAAGCATTTATATTCCCTTTGGGAAAAACTCTATGGTACCTGCTGAAAGTGAAACATCACCGGGAATAATTTGTTTCAGAAGGGATTATCATCAAGTTGACGAGCAAGATCCTTACCTACCACCATCGGCGGCCTCGCAGGCAATTGCAGCGCGGACCCTTCGAGGCCAAGGGTCGTACCCGCCTACAGCCCCTACGCTTAATTCGAATGCTCTTGGCACTCATAATACGATTAAGCAGCCTCTCTTGCTAACGCCGCCCCCACCGTCCTACGCTACTGCGACTGCTCGAGCACGTCAACTGCACGAGAGCATGCTAAAGTTTGTGCATGAAGTTTTCAGTTTTATTCTTCTTAATTTAGCTACATTGAATTGAAGGAATCGATTAATAACATCGCGTTCAAATGCCGTGTTAGATTCAGTGCAGTTTTCTCCTTTGAATGTTGCTTTAATCATATAGTTTTTTACCATCATCAAAACTAAAAGTTTACACTAGTATATGCTTTTTGACGGATATATTATATCAAATATGTAATTGCATCATATGAATAATTGTGCCAGTCTTGGTTTTATATTTGATGTTCTAATTATTTGAATCTTTCAGTGTTTTTTCTGCGACATAAATATTTCAAACCAAACTTCATATATTCTGTTTGAAAGTTCTTAGCAGTCTTGACATCGCTTTTACATTATTGTTAGGAAGATAGTATTAGCGCAATTTTGATTCTATCTTATCAATATAACATAATAGACGGTTTTGCAGACGTGATTAAACTTGAATCTATGTTTAGATAAGATACAATCGATACCGGTCAATGTGTAAAACAAAGATAATGCTGCAACTTGGTTTCTTCTTCCTCACCATTTACAGAGGTGGGGGTGTTAACGGGAGCGGAGGGGCCGGGGATCACAAATCATCTCAGCATAATCAGCAATCAACGGGTGGGCACCGAGCTGAGCACCGTTCTGGACTCGGAGATCAACCTGGCCAGTACGCGACTCTGAGCAAGCAGTGCAAGACTCTGGAATCTAGTGACTTTTACTGAGGGCACGCCCCCGCAGGGCCCGGTAAAATACTTTGAAACTGCTTGTAACAATAATAATACATTTAATTTGCATTTCTGATGATTTAAAACAACTTAAATTTCATTACATTCTCCCTTTTCGTTATTTTTGTGACTCTTTGAAGTAATTACTATATTTTATTTCATTATTGTAGGTAGAGAACCACCTTGGACGCCGAGCGTGGCGTCCTTCACCGGTACCCTGTCTCACAATTCGCATGGACCCGCGCATCTCGCCACTTTCCAAGATTCCCGGAAGACGCAAACGCTGGATCCGAAGAATCTGGCCAGTCTGAAGCGGGGCCCCACCCCGGCCTGGAATCAAAATCGACCGCTGCCGCCGAATCGGGCGAGTCAGCAGCCGACGTGGGAATTCGAGTCGCGCTCGCAGACCAACATGAATCAGTTTAGATCGTTAGTGCGAAACAAGGCACCTAACATTCGCATTCAGGATCAGATGCAGGATCAGGTCAGAACTTTAGACAGAAATTTCTCGCGTAGTCAGTTTAACGGCGCCGCCCCGCCGAACAGCACGGTGCCGAATATGTACGGTACGTATAATCGGGCGCAGGGCAGGCAGGAGAAACCGACGGTGGCTACGCTGAGTCAGGTACAGGGTAGTGATCCTAATCTGTATGCTGTAACGGAACTCTAATCACAGAAGCCGTAGACGGGATGCGATATTAAATCGATCAGTCGCGAGTATTCGCAGAGTAAAAATGTCATCTTTTTTACCTAAAAGAGTTTCGTCTTCATAAAGAAGTTTAAATCGTGCGATACGGAGTTCCTATAAAACAAAGAGAATAATGGCAAACTGATTTCGGGGGATCTGCGATAAAAAGTGAGAGAAATATGAGGGGGCGAAAAAGTTTTAGAGAACTAGCAAACCTAGCAAAACCTAGGAACCTTGTGCGAGGCATACTTTATATCCGAGATTTTGTACTTGTATATCATGTACAGTGATTGTGGTACGTCCTTCTACGTTATCTTTTCCCCTTATTACCGCGTTCTTGATCGGATCGCGCGTGTGGTATCCAGGAATAGGCGGAATGCATACTTAAAGCGGCAACGTACGTATTTATCGCTTGTTGATTGATCAAATGGGAAGCTGCACAAATGAATAAGCACAAAAAATCTTGACACCAAGTTTTACATTGACATCGTTTACAGAGATGTTACTCGTTCGTTCATTCTAAATTGGACGTTAATTTTGCACAATGCAAGTATTGCGCAAATAGACGCGAGAGTGGCGGTGACAACGTTCCCTTTTTTTTTTTAATTTGTTACATGCTTCTTTGAGAATTGGAAACATCTAACAGATTGAAAAAGATGTGGGTGCGGCTGACTGCCGAATTGCCACTCCCTCGGAGATCTTATGGACGCATCCCGGGACACCAGCGATCAAACGTGTACTGGAGAAAATGAAAGAGATTTTATTGTTTGAAATTGAGTTTCAGAACTCTTGAAGGATAGAAAAGGGTGCAATTAGTTCACCAGTTAAACCAAGCGTAGTACGCCATTTGTTTGTTCGTTTGCGGCGCGTGTAGATATGATACAGTAAAAACACTGCGTTTTATGCTGACACCGGTGTGTCTCCAATTCGTTATCAACTGCCCACTGCTCTCTCTCATAGCTATTCTTCTGGTGCCGGGATGTTCCGGAGGATCTCTCTTAACGAAGAGACAGAAAGACTGATAATTTTTTTTTCAGTTTTTATATGCAGAAAAAAGAAGGCTAAAAACGAGCACCTAATGTGACGATGAACAATGGGGGTATGTTGGAAGGGTACTTCCGCAGGCGGTACTAGTTGAAATACGACGTACTTTTTTTACCACGCCTTTAAAATACGACGTTTTTAGGGGCAGCGGAAAGGTGAATCTGTCGCAAAAGTTGAATCTTATTATACTCTGTAAGGATCGAGGATGAATTTTCTGCGGAATGCAGTCTTCCTGAAATAATTCTAAACATTAGAGATATACCGGGTATCCGGCGATTATTCGGCACTGAAAGCCGGTAATAAGTCAACGCAAGCATGAATCGATAATAATAAGATGTTTAATCTTACAATAAGATGTATTTGCATACGGATAAAAAAGCGGATTTTCTAAGGTTTTTAATATAACTGAATAATTCCGCTTCCAAGATGTAATCGCTGTTTCAAACGTGGACAAAGTTCGAGTGTCGAGGGGAGTAACTTTGTGCCTGAATAATAACCGAAAAGTATTGTTTACTTTGATATCCAATTTGCATTTCGTCTTGGCGCTTGTCACGGACGACGGATGCTTGGTGCGACAGTATCCGGTACATCTCTAACTGAAACTATCCGAAAATTTGTAAGGATTGATAGACTTTCAGCAGTTGCAAATGACTTTGTACTCGCATCCGCACATAATTCAGTAAGTCTGTATATAAACGATAACACTTAAGATTATCGAGTAAACGTGAAAGTGTGATAAATCGAATTTAGACGTTATAACGAATTCGAACGGAAGCATTTTGTCGTTTTTTGGTTAACGATTCGACTGCGGTTCCGATTGCGTAACAAGGAAAATCGTGCCATTCCAGGAACATTTGCATTTATCCTAACTACTTTCCAGAATTTCCTTAGGACTTGCGTTTAGTCGAATAATGATTAATATATAATCGCAATACACTGAGCATTAAAAAAGGAGCGTGACTAGCAAAAGGACTTGACCCAATGTAAATAATTGTAATATTTATTACAGAGCGATAACTCATAGATTAGCGTATAGTTTAGTTAAATGCTAATTTACGTTTCGATGGTAAATATTAAATATATGCACGCGGCCTGGTACGCCGCGTGCGCGTAATACGAGATGGACGAATATTGTTTTGTTCACTTTGAAAGCAGAGAAGCACCCTAGTCAGTATATAAAGTTGCGTACATTTCAATAACAAGTGAAGATCTCTTGCCAAATTCTTAACACGGCTCAATTTAAGAAAAGAAAAAAAAAAAGAAAAACGTAAAGAGGACTGCTCTTTTTTCTCAAATATTTGTATCGTATTAATACGTATGGAAGCTATATTAGTGCGTCATCGCCCCGATACATGTTCTAGATTTTAAGAGAAAAATTATGTATTAAGAAATTATGCAAACGTGATCCATCTTCAGTGTTTTAAAGGAAACATAAGTACAGATACGCGCTGTATTCATAATTACAGCTATTTGTTATATGTCATGTTTACTGTTTCTACTTTGCAACAAATGTTTGCTTTTCCATTTTTGTGCGATGTTAATTTGCAAGTCAAATTTTCTTTCTCTTAAAATTAACAAAAATATATTTTTTTGTTTTTCTTTTTATATCTTTTGTTAATGACTTCCGAAACACTGGAAGTGGATGTCTTCAGACAGTCGAAACAAAACATAATAATAGTAATTTTTATTCGTCGAAATTTTACAGTAAAGCAAACGGGATCAACATATAGTATTGTTCAGATTAAAAAAAACTGCATGATCATTTGCTAGTCTGTGGAAATTTAGGAATATTGTTCCGTGAGGAAATATTCGATCAATGCTCAATAATCCGAACGAAAGAGACTACACATAAAGAACCCGTTTAACATGTCTATTGAAGAGTAATCTAGAACAGAAAACCAAGTTCTTGATATATGAATTAATCTAGACGATTGATGAAACTTTTGATTCTAATTATTTGTAACAATTTTTAACGAGAAGCTCAGGCGTACACTTCACGAAACAGTTTGTTCAATGAATAAACACGGCAATTTAAGTTTTCCATAAGTTTTTCATACGATAAATATAATATGGTGTAAGAAAGCGAGAGCATCTGCGTTACAAACACGAGCAAAAGAGAAAGGCGGAATGAGAGACCGAGAGAATGTGTGCATATGCTACTATTACATATATGTGTGTGTGTGTGTGTGTGTGTGTGTGTGTGTGTGTGTGTGTGTGTGTGTGTGTGTATGTGTGTATGTATGCATGAGAGAGAGAGAACGGAAATTTATTATTTTCAAAGTATAGAAGTGATATAATGATACAACGTTCAAAAACTCATTTTGAATCAGTGCATTTTCTTGGCCTACGGCAATTTTTTTCATCGCAAAAAAAAATAGTTAATAAATGATGAAAATCAAAAAGACTTCGGAGAATCGGAATGCTATGACACATCGACAGGTACGAATACGCGACAAACAGGAACGGAAGACCTAAGCTTTTGTGCATCATTTAAGACTGATACTGGATATACCGAAGGATCCAGGGCTCTAAACGTTTCTCCGTATATTCGTATATTATATAAGTATGTAATCTTTTACACGTGTTCGGTATGGGATGCAGAGACAGGACGTTTTCGACGGTATCTTCTTTTTGATATTTTTCTCGATTTACATTGCGTTTGTATACTTCGCTATATATATTTACGAAAATATAGGTAATATATTCTATTTTTTGCGCACTTCTCTCTCACCGCGCGAAAGAGATTTATTTACAAAGTATGTAGAGGCTATTCCAGAATTTACGTAAGTAATATTCGATTTGCGTCTTTCTTTGTATGTGCGACTTTTGATGTAATATAAAGAGACTTGTCTCAGAAGTGTATAAGGAAGTGTAGAAGCAAGACAATGAAGAACGAACGAAGCTCGTTAATCGATACCACTTTTGTATATTACGATTGTGTCTAATTGCCATATTTCAGATTTAATTCCTCTTGTAACGGAACATGAATATTATAAAAAGAGAAATAAAAACCTAAGATCCACAACAGTCGCATTATATCACGATAAAAAAAATGGATGAATAGTAAGTATGGCGCAAAGGATTTTTTAATATATATTTCTATTTCATATTATTTATTCATTAGCAATATTTTATATTACAATAAGTTTGGTACATAAATATACATATTGCTCGTTTCCTTTCTTCAGCTTCTTTTTTTTTTCAACAATTTACGAATATTTCCTAATGTAGTATTTAATTTATTTATCAATCTTAATCACTGAACTATTTTATCTTGATTTTATGGATTACATAATACAGGAGCAATAATACAGATTATCTTCATTCATTTACATGCAAATATAAGTTTCTTTGGCGGTTCATTGCTTACACCTTTCGAATGCCATCGAATACCTTTCTATGGAATATTTTCGCTCGAATGTCTATTCTTCAAAAAGTTCTTTGTAAAAGAATTTAAAAAGTAAAATGGACACACATAATAGTTTATATGTATAGTATAATACATAAAATAATCACATAATGTAATGTTCTTTTTTTAACATTTTGCTTGATGTGTTGTATTTATGGATAAAAACATAAAATAATCTATAGAGTGCAAAAGATAAATTAAAATATTAGCAAGTAAGTTAGAGAGAGAGAGAGGGAGAGGGAAAGAGAGAATTAGCGAGTAAAAAAGTTTTATCTAACGACGAAAAAATGCTGTTCTAAAATAAGCATATTTCGGAATAACATAGCTGAAGCGTATAATATTAAATACGAAACTTGTTTACTAATAAATAATTTCATTGCGACATGTTCTCATGAAGTATTATCAAATGTTTTAAATTAGTGCGCTAAGTATGAAAAGAAGAAAACTTGCTGAGAGAAATTGAGGTGATTCCGTTCTAACTATTGTGCCGTAAGAAGTATTCAATGTGAAATTGGTACGTATAAACTTGACATAAGAGCGACATTCGTATACGTATCAGTCCAATAAGTACATGGGCCACCCCATGATTGATTAAGTCAAGATCACTTGAAAATAGCAGCGAAATTTTGCGCAGTTTACAAAAGAGGCCGCGTTGACGCTAAGTTCAACGATTCGTAAATGTGAAAAATATTTTCTACGAGAAACAGGCATTAAGAATGTTAACGGAATAAGGTGAAATAAAATCATGGCGCAAGCTTTTATCCAATTCAGTCGACAAGTTACTTAAAGAGTGTACCTCCTGTAGGAAACCTTTCAGCGTTTAAAACATTGTTTTTATCCCAAGTACTTAATGACTCGGGAAGAATGCACCTTCGATTTATATACAATATTCACTACGACTTTGTCTGCCTGGATTCTTCCTTCACTTGAGGCTGGGAACTGGCACTGTTTATTACGGGCATGCTCTTACCGCTCTGTAGGCTAGAATGACTGGACGATCGGCTGTGGCTCTGACTCTGATTGCTAGCACCGACTGGCGTTTGGACCAGAGGCTGCGGCGGAGTTCTCGCGCCAGAGCCATTACTATTCGTGAAATTGGGTTGCAACTGCATGTGATACTTGTAGATATTTTCCGTACTCTCCACAACACCTGTTTTTAACAAATATGTGTTACTACAAGGTACTCCAAGTGTCACGATTATTTCGAATGTCTCGGTTGCTTTCAGAAATTTGAAGAAAATACGGATCATAAAAATTAATATTTATTGTATAATAATTGTATAGTTAAAATTATACCTGCTTGCAAGTTTAGACTACGACCGCGGACGCCCGTCTCTTTCGAAATGGGACTCCACCAATTAACGAAAGTCCCTACTACGGGAACGTGCCTGAGAATACCCTCTTGCCACAGCTTTTCCGCGTTTTCCCTTTCCAGATCCGTTTGCGCTGTCTCGATGCCTCTCTTAACCACTTCAGAGATAGTATCCATCATTTTGGAATTAGCTTCGACCTCCTGACCCACTCGCAAAACTAGGGATAATAGTTCGGCCAAGTCTGGAAACAATGTCAGCAGTGTTGTGAATACGTATTTGACGCTGAAAGCATGTTTTTACTTACCAGTGTCTTGTGTGACCATGCCGAATCGCACGCAAGCTAGACCGTCCGCGCCTTCGCCAAGGGAAAACGCGGCATCCGTGCTGCGCAGACTGTCGACCAATTGTATATTTAGTTTGTTCAACTCTTCCCTTGCCTGATCGGTCATAACGTGAATCCAAGTAGGTGGAGCGTAACGTACGCCTCCCAAACCCGCCCATTCCGGCAATTCCACTAAATGTAAAGAATCATTCTCTGAGACTAAACGTACGAAGGTGTCTTTGTGTTCCACTGTCGCAAGTAATATTTCCTATTCAATGAAATTGTGATAACGTTACTAACGAGTTTACGATCGTGTTAATGATAATTGTGACAATGTACTCTACATTCCTACCACATTTTCAGATGTGACGAGAAAATTTATTAATTATTCATATCAAAAAAAGCATCATCACATCTATTGGCATCGGTAGAAATGTAGATGGACATGAATCTGTGACATTCTTACTATTTGTTGTTCAAGACAGGTCACTAAATTGTCTATATCTTCGGTCGTGAACGGCTGCTCGAGATTCTCCAACGGACAGATACGAATCGCGACACCACACTGCTCTATATCACATAATTCGATTTGTATATTGTCAATGTCTCTCTGAAGAATCTGTCCCAACCAGGAGTTCAACTTGTCGTAATGAGGTAACACACGTTCCGTCGTTTGAATGTCCTTGTTGGCAGGTACGAATTGAAAGACTAACGCACTTGCTACCACCTCAAATAACTGTAAATTATTCACAGGGTTCATAAGATAGTCGTTTAAAGTATATGATTCCGTTTCACCACCTGGCGATTGACTCTGAAAGAAAGCGACACTGAATAAAATCTGGTATTTCGCATAGATCTTTGATACAAACTTACCAATATTCTAATGCAAGAGAACCCTTTAAGTTTATTGTACAGCTCTTCCACAGCCAAGAAGCACCTTTTCAATCTGTTGTGCACGCCGTCTCGGCCTAAAGCCTGCAAAACGGCCCACAAGGGTAAAGTCGGCAGTCGTCGCGATAGCGAGTCTGCCATCAGTCCTGATACTAGCGACAGAGTAGTATCTCTCGGAGTAGGTCTTCCTCCTTTGTTATCTGCTAATCTATACAATGTCTATTGGCAAATATTAAGAAAAATCGACATAAAAAATCCTGTAATAAATTATAGCAGTCATGAATGAGAGATATATAATCCCTTTCTAACATTCTTGTCTCATTTTAAATACTAATATTTATTAAAATTGAATATTATTTGTTTTAACTTATGTTACAGATAATTGAATTCAAAGCACTAAAAAGGATACAACCACTGGAAGCGAAGGTATTCCTAGCCATGTGCCAAGTGGCAACGTGATGCTGTCCGCTATTTTTGACGGCTATAAAATATACATAAAAAATTTAGAGAAATTCTTCAAATACATTTGACAATGACAAAGTATGTAAAATTTTCTTAACGACAAAATGTGCAACAATTACCAAATCTTTCGCCGAGTTGTTCAGCGCAAGAGCGGCTAGTGAATGTCCACTGAGATGCAGCCAGACATTATATTTGTCGCATATCGCTCGTAATCGTGTAATATTGTCACAGTGGCCCGTTAACACCGATCCAGCCTCGGCCAAGACCAGTAATGGCGTTACGTTGTTTAACTGCGTGTCTTCCGCTAATCGTCGTTCCAACGCCGAAACATCCATAGTATGCCTCGAGCCGAACATAGTATTATGTGAGATTGGTCTTATGCAGTGAAGCGGTAAGGAAAGCTGCAGAAGTGTAATAAACCTTTAATATGTTGTTCACAAACTCTTTCTATTTTGCAAAACAGTAATTCTTTACTATAAAAAAATAAAATATATCTACATCGATTGTCTTTTATCTGTGTCTTTGACGCGCATCCAAAGTTTTGTGAAATGTATGGAATATTTTTTTAGAAATTTGCCAAGAAAAAAGAATCAAGAAATATCTCACCTGTCTGCACAAGTGCTGAACAACGGCAAGGGGTGCGGCAACGGAGCTGTAAATCAAAGGGGGTTGAGAAGCGAGTGCAGTGAAGCCCTCCTCCATGTATCGGGGATATTTCCGGTGCAGGGCAAGTCGAGTCACTCTGACTAGTCCTTCCAGGTGATCCTCGTGGAAGGACGATGCACAGTCGACGAAGCGGAAGATGTGACTGAGCCATCTCGTCGTATCAGCTGCGAGACGACCGGCGAGCTTTTGCGCGTGTGACTTCGGTAGCGCTATTGCGTAAGCTGAAACGGTGTGCGTGACTAAGGCTAATTTTGCCGCCTCGGTCAGAGTCGGTAGAACCGCGATCTGGCTGACTGCTGCGTCCGTGGAGCCTGCTTCAGCTAGTTGCGACACGTCTTCGTGAACCACCAAATCCTGTACAACAAAAATTTCCAATAAATATTTTTTGTAACAACTGTTAATCACTATCAGCTGCATAGTTGCATTTTTTTAAATTAAAATAAATAGATAAATACGACGAATAATAATAATATAAAAAATGTGTTAAGACATAAAACAGTAAAAAAATGCGACGCACAAAGAAAATATTGTGCGTTTTGTTATGATAAAAGGCATCTTTTAAGTTTACACATTGTTTAAACTTATAATTCTCAATGCTTTTTATTTTTAGCTCTTCGAATTATTTATGAAAAACTTTTATACACAGGAATAAAATAACACAAATTTCTAGGAGATATGACGTCTAAAAATAGTAATCTATATTACAGTTTGCTGATAAAGTTATCAAAATTATTGATAAGCGAAGAGAAATGTAAATGTGTAACGCGTAAAATTATATCGCAGAGATAATTAAAAAACAAACTATATATTCAAATTCATATTTATTCCGCTGCACCTCGCGTTGCAGCGTGTCACACAAATGTAGAGCACAAACACAGCCACGTGATAAGCAATTATCAGAGCTATCGTGCTACCGGCGCGGCCAATTGCGCGCGCCCAATGGCTTCTGCTAGCGTAGGCGAACCATCGCGTTAGCGCTCACCTGTATCAACGCCAATATTTCGTCCGGTTTCTTCGGCTGCGACAGGAATCCTAAGGGATTATTCCACGTGGTGCCGCCGCCGTCGGTCGGCCGTTCCACCGCCTGCTCCAGCCGCGCGATTATCTGCGACGCCTGAAACTGCAATGCGCCCGCCTCGTTCGCCGCAGACGTCGGACCACCATCTCCGGCACTGACCTGTCAAAATCGAAGAGAAACGCACTCGGGTTAACCTATGGTCGCACCCTGTCGAGCGATCGCGGTCACTCGCGTTGCCGATCATCGCTACAGCGCGACGCGATCGCGCCGTTAATTGTCGCCGAATACGCACCTCCAGTAAGTTTTGCGCTATACTTTCCATCGCCGCGTTATCGTTTGTGTCAGCCTCCTCGGCCATCGTGGCAGTAGTCGTGGCTAGCAGTAGCGTCGCATCGTGCCGCCGACGCTGATTCAATTTCGGCGACGATCGATCGATCTCGTATTCGGAACATCACTTTTTCTAAATATTTCTGTACAATAAAAATCCGTTTAAAGCGTAATAAGTAACTTTATTTAAAACTTGTCCGGATTTTTGAGAAAAATTATAGATGCGAGAAAGAACAGGGTCAGATCAGCGCTTGGGACTGTACTTATTTTATCGATATGGCCGTCGCAGCGCCAATTCATAAGTACTTGGAGTATCTTGATTGAGCTATCAAACTTCATCAAAGAAATGTAGAAAATGAAAGCTTTACATAATTGTGTTAACATTTGAATTTAGTTTATTGACATAATATATTTATTACATAAATTGGATAAATTGCATGTTTAAAAATATTTATTATATATATTTTTTTAATAGCTTACTAATCTTAATTGTTTGTCTTTCAGTCAATATTTTCTTTATAAAGCAAACGATAATCGCGATACAGTATGTAAAAATTAACAAAGTTTAGTACTAAAAAAAAAATTTTCCAAAAATTTACAAAGTAATGTGATATATTAAATGACTAATAAAATTATTTTGCATTGAGCATATATGAACAAAATTAGCAGAAATATCTAAATAAAAGACGTGTTTCATTGAGATAATTCAATGCTTGTAAAATATACATAATACAAAAATATTTATAGTAATTTGATTGTTAAGATTTTACAATAATCAAATATGTGCTACAAAAAATGGAATACCATATAATTTCTTTTAATATAGGAATAGTGAAAAGCGGTGTTTTATGAATGAATATAAATTTTTACTATATAACATAATACATACATATATGTAATCACATAAGATTTATACAATTTCAACTGTAGCACCAACCTTTGTAAGAGCATCTTTCAATTTCTCTGCTTCATCTTTTGCTATGTCTGCCTTTACTACTACCGGAGCACTTTCGACAAACTTTTTGGCCTATTTTTATAAAATACAAGATGATTAATTTAATTAAAGTTAATTTTCCGCAACATTATACTTAATATCTAAAAATTTGATAATTTAGTACCTGGACAAGATTTGTATCAGGTAACAGACTCTTAATTTCTTTGATCAGAGCAACTTTCTGTTTGTTATCAAATTCTGTTAGCCTAACAGTGAATGCTGTTTGCACTCGTTTTTGTATCTGCTCTTCTTCTTCCTAAACAAGCAAAAAATTAATCATTTAAATCCTATCTTTAAAAATTTAATATATGTAATAGAAAAACTTAATTTTATTTTGTATTAATTATCTTCTATAATCTAATTAAGCAGAATAAAAATATGATATCCTTAAGATGTTTTTCAAAATGTTATTTGTACAGTACAAAATATATATATATCGAGTTACCACAGCTTGAGGAGCAGCAACAAATCCTCCTATAGGCATAACAGGTGCGTCTGGCAAATTTAGTCGTTTCTTTAACAGATCACTGAGCTCTGCTACTTCTATTAAATTCAAAGCAGTAATGTCGTTAGCTATTTTGTCAATTTTTGGATTCACTGGTTTGTCAACATCCGATATGGGAGGTGGTAGAGATGGTGCAACTTGTGTCGCTGTTGCTGCGATTGATTCCGCTCGCCGGGCAATGCTAAAAGCAACAAATACAGGATTGTTTGAAATAATCCTTTAAAATGGTAAAAATGAGTTATGTAATTATCCTTATTTGTGAGCGTATTAATGCATTTGAAATATTTCAGACTCACCATTTATGAAATTGGCGAAATTGATGAAGATTCTGTTGAAATACGAAACGACATGTATTAATCATTTTGAATGATTGTGAATACATTTGCTATAACGTAATAAAAATCCAGCTACTACACAACGTGAGTAACTTTTTATTGACTATCTTCAGAAAACACCAGATCACATTTAATTCCGTTTTTTGTCACTTGCAGTTATCGCACAGCATCTATATTATAACTAGATCGCTGACTCCCATTGATCTTGTATATACACGCACCAGCACTATAGACGTAGTAAGTATAAACTACGTTTACACGTCAATCTTAATCGGGTTTAGTAACATTCGTAGTTACTACATGAAACTGGCCAATCACAGCTATTCCCCTAAAAAATGGAATGGCTATGATTGGCCAGTTTCATAACTACGGATGTTACTAAACCCGATTAAGGGCCTATGCTCAGTTCCACCAACGTAGATTAACTTTAATCTCGGTTCAACTTATTCTTCATTCTTTTCTAGTTTTAAGAATTAGAAAAAGGTAAAGAGTAAGTTGAACCGGGATTAAAGTTAATCTACGTTGGTGGAACTGGGCACTATCTAGACAAACTTGCATAGTCGCATAAACATATGCATAAGGAAATTGATTGGTCCATTTCTTTATGCATTTGCTTATGGACCAATCAATTTTCGTAAGCATATGTTTATGCAACTATGCAAGTTTGTCTGGATAGGCTCTAAGGTTGACGTACAAACGTAGTCATAGGCCGGTATTCATAGTCCGTTCTTATATTTAAGATTGTCTTAAGTTTTGTTTTAAAATGCTACGAACTAATCAAAAAGCCATATTAGTATCTTAAGACGACGATGACGACTTATGACGACGACTTAAGACGATTTCAAATATAAGAAATGACTATGAATCCGGCCATAGACTACGTTTACACGACTCCGATTTACGCCGAAGTTATAATATCGATGTTATAGGCCGGTATTCATAGTTCGTTCTTAGGACGGTATTCATAGTCATTTCTTATATTTAAGATCGTCTTAAGTCATCGTCATCGTCGTTTTAAGATACTAATATGGCTTTTTGATTGGTTCGTAGCATTTTAAAACAATATTTAAGACAATCTTAAATATAAGAACGGACTATGAATACCGGCCTTATATTCAAGATTATCTTAAGTAGAGACTTCTATTCGCTCTTTTCGTCAGACACAATCTGTGTGTGACGAAGAGAGCAAATATAAGTCCGCACTTAAGACGATCTTGAATATAAGAACGGACTATGAATACCGCCCATAACTACTGATGTTAGATGCCGTGTAAACGCTATTTTACGACGAAGTAACTACATCGATGTAATAACTTTGTCATAAAATAGCGTTTACACGGCATCTAACGTTAGTAGTTATAACATCGATGTTATAACTTCGGCGTAAATCGGGCCGTGTAAACGTAATCATAGATACGGTACCTAAAGACAAGCTGCCCCGAAATCTTCTCCCTCCGGCACGCTTTACTCTTCCAGTATCTTTCTATATTTCAGTGGTGTACGTCCTATAGTGTAGTAATAGCGTGTAGTGAAACGAACATATCATCCGATCAAACTGTAGGATTTTTCTAACGTGGTAACGCTCGATAAGGCATATAAATATGAGCTCTTTTAGTGTGAGTATTTTTCCAGAGGAGATACTGCTAGAAATGTTCAAGTTTTGTGATGTATATACTTTAATACAACTTTGTGAAGTATGCAAACAATTTAAACGTTTATCAATTGAGATCTTAATTAAAAAAGCTAGCAATTTACTTATTACGAATGAGGTGTCGCTAAATTTTCGTACACGGTAAGTTAAAGCTTAATCTTTATTTGTATTTCAATTAATTCTAGAATTTTTTTAATACGTTTGCTGACGAAACCGATTTACGTCACGTATATCATATAAATCCCACATGTCGAAACATTTTATTTATACAGAATCTCAGAATGATGGGACAATTGCAAGTATGGGTACTTTGATACGTTTCAAAAAATGAAGTGTTTACGGAATATGATTTTAATATGACTTATATAACACTGTTTACATGATGAATGTTACTTAACTTTAACAGTCAAAATCTATTGAAATGAAAATATTCAAACGAAATGAAAACATTTGCCATTGGATAAAAATTGGAGTGTAGAGTTATGTAATAACAATAACTCAATTTTCGTAAAAATGTGACTTAACACAGTTTACTTCTAAGGCGCTCATATACAGAGTGTTTGATAATGTTCGTTCAACCGCTCGTGTACAGGTAGAGCGCGGTAACTGAATAGAAAAGTCCTTTATCGTTTTGCAATTTTCGCAATAATAACGGAGATATTAATTAAAAGGGATCGACGATGTAGGGGTCGGGATGACGTGGGTCAGCGACGTATCATACAGCGACGAAAAATAACAGCGGAGATCCAGCCTCACGCGCCGTTTCCGCCCGCTCGCTGCTCGCGTGTTACTTCTCTCGCTATGCGCAGTTGTTTTTCATTGCCCTGCGACACACTACTAACCCACCTAGATCGTACAGCTCACGATCTAATCGCGCGCAACGCGCTATCATTAGTCGATCCTTTTTAATTAATATCTCCATTATTATTGCGAAAATTGCAAAACGGAAAAGGATTTTTTATTCAGTTTACCGCGCTCTATCTGTACACGAGCGGTTGGACGAACATTATCAAACATCCTGTATATTGTTGTGCCCGCGTTGAAATATCGTCGTCTGATATTGCGCTCGAACGGGTTACCGCGTGTCCCGTGAAACGATCAAGAAACATTGCCTGGTTACGGTATCAACAGATTGACAAGAAAAGAGTTACGCTTGCTCCTTGGCGTCGTGAGGACGTGTCACGAGCGCTCTCTTACTTTAATTAAAAATTGCTGTAGTTCTGTGTTTTTAATATTGTGTTCAATTAAAGCGGAGTTTCTTATAATCTATGTTCTCATTTCACGCGTGCGCGCTTTCGCGAGTGTTCTGCGAGTGTAACAATATATACAGGACGAGTCTGATAAAAAGCTCACTTTGAATAACTTGTTAATTATACGTTGTATGCAACAATTTTTTATACAACGCATAGTTTACAAGTTATTACAGAGTGAACTTTTTATCAGATTTATCCTGTATACATAGAAGAAATAAGGATAGGTAACCGTTATAATAAAAACTGTTTAGTGATGAGATTTGGTATACAAAAGACTACACTCTCACTCGCTCGCCCATTCTCGATTGACTTGCTTGTCGTTTCTGCGTTTTTCTTTTGTCGTCTCTACGCTTCTCTTATGGTTTAATCTCGCTCTTGCTCAGCCTCGCACGCATTCACGCTTCACCGTTCGCACGTATGTACACACGGGGACAGGAATGCCTTCTCACATGAAGTTACATGTGCTCGTCGGACATGTCAGGCATACCGGATATGCGTGCTTCACCTCTCAATATTCGTGCATTATAACTGTAGATATTCGAAAA